AGAGCATCAAATTTATTTGAATTTGACTAGAATGAAAGAGAAATGTTTTAACATCTTTCTAAGTGACATTGGTTGCCAAGATCTTTTAAAATGTAGGGCCCCCGTGGGAGAAAAATAGTAAAATTCTTGGATTCTAAGACAGTTGCACCAACCCAGTTCAACACTCATGTAATAAACATGGAGACTGGGGCCCAAAAAGGAGAAGGCACGTCCAAGGTCATGACTTTCACATTTAATTCCCTCAGTCATCAGTCAGCTGGTGTGGGTGAGTGTTTCCTGAGGGCTGCCTGGTGCTGGGCGCTGTGGGACGAGGATGGGGTGAGCAGGCGGGAGGGGGGGTTGTGTCATAGGAAAGAGAAAATGAACCTCATTCTTGGCATCAAAGAACTTATGTTCTAATTGGGACCCCTCATCCCCTCACCCCTGCCAGAGTCCCAGCTTTACCTCTGGCCACGTCTGTATAAGTTTCTAGAGTTGTCTCTGCTCTTGGGACACAACTCGAGCCTAGCAAAATCTACCTGTGCTGGAGCGCCTTCCAGCGCACAAAGCCACGATCCTTTACTCCCCCTCCTCGTCTACACCTGTGGCCCTGGGTGGTGGAAATTACTGCTATCTCGCACTTTCCAGTCAGACAGGGAGGTTCAAAGAAAGCTGACAGGGGGAGAAAGGTGGCACTTGAGCCTGCTTGCCCTGAGCCCAGCCGCTTCTGAAGGCCGGCCTGGGCTGCCGCTCCCTCCGCGCCCTGGCCCCGCACCACCCGCTGAAGTGCTGGGAGGCTGCTCTCCTTTGTGCCACTCGCTCTGCTTCTCTGCAGCCTGGAGGGAGTTTCTCTGAACGCCCAGGGTAGATCATACTCCCGGTGGTGCTCCCCTCACTCAAGTTCCTGGTGTAGCCCCCATTGGCTCTCAGGCTGGGTCTGCCCACCTTGGTCATCTCCATGTTCCTGGCCTGACGCCCTGGGAAGGCAGGCAATGATGTGTTCCTGGGTAAATGATGGGTGTATGAAGTTTGCATACAGATAAGTGTTAATAGACTTGCAGAACTTCACCGTGGCTTTGATAAGACCAAACTGAAGTTAGTCACCTGATTTTTAAGAGTGTGATCATTGATTAGACTGAGTGCTTTAGGTTTCCTGCTTTTTCCTGGGTAGCTCTGAATTATATCAGAATCTTACCATTTCAGAGCAAAACTTACTGAAAGGTGTTAGAGCGTATGTAAAGAATAAATAATTTGCTGTAGTATTTGTATAAATGAGTTTAGAAATGGACCTATGCTAAAACATAGATACAGTATCACATTTCCCCCCTCTTTGTAGTTATTAAATCTGTTCTTTTCCTCCACAGTTTAAAAAGGCATTTAACAATTCTGATTACGGACAGACTGTAATTGTTAAAATAAGGTAAGTTTGCTGTGGACTGAAGGGGAACTTTGGAAGCAGGTGTGTGTATGCCTATCTTCCCATCTTCTCTGGCATTCCCCGTGAGGCACTGAGGCCCTAGGGTGGCGAGTCACATGTCAGGAAGAGCACGCACTGCAGAGGCCCCTGCCTCCGATGTCACACTGAGCCGCGCCTGGGTGCGCAGGGTGTAGCCTGGGGACAGCAAGATGCTGCCTGTGATTGGCGACGCAGCAGTGTGCACACGTGACATCACCAGTCATCAGTTTGTTAGGTTTGATCCCTTGGCTACAAACCATGTTCCTTCCAGGGGGCCAGGAGCAGAATGAGTGGCTCACGGCCATCTCTTCCCTCATGGGGGGAATGAGCAGAGAGGAGTTCCCCAGGCACACACCTGGCCACTGAAGGGCCCGTCCTGAGCTCCTTCTGAGGAAGAACAGGCATTCAGTGAGCACATGAACATGCAATGACCAGGGTTACGTGCTACTTAGGAACCCAAAGAGGCAGAGGAGCCTCAAAAAGTCAGTGATTCCATCTCAGCCTTCTCTAAAGCATGCTGACACACAAGTGCAGCAGGCTAGGGAAAGGCAGCTCTAAGATGAACGGAGTCGTGCAGAAAAAGCAGCCCTAATGTATTTGTATTTTATGGTTTTACTACCTCATCTATCTTTATAAGCTTTGTCAAATCCTTACTGGAAAAATGTACACTATATACATTCGTATATATAAATTCAGAGAAGACCTCCTAAAGCTGGTGCTTTTTGATCTTGGCGGTGAACAAGGGTCCCATGTGATTGGTGGCCAGGACAGCAGGCAGCCAATAGGAGGTCCAGGGCAAGCGGCAGGCAGGGAGCTGAGCCCCGATGCGGAGGCTCAAAGCTGGAGGTACAGCCACCAACTGTCAGGGCATTAGGTTTGGTTTAGGGGAAAATGGAGTTCGTGCATCGGGATGACTGGATAAAAACACAACCAGTGCAGTGTGGCGGTGTCAGCTAAATCTGCACTCGAATCTTGGCCTTGGCACCTTCTTGCTGTGTGAAGTTTGAAACTGTGAACTTCTGTTACCTCATCTGTACAACTGGGATAATCCGATCAACTTTTGGAACCCTGGGAGGAGCAAATGAGATACCCTGGGGAAGATTCCCTGTGAAAAGTGCCTGGAACCGAGTCAGTTTCAACTCATGTTAGTTCCCGTCTGTTTCCCGTCCAGAATAACAGACCCTGCAAGTGTGAGGGAGAGCTGGCCCCACAAGGTCATCTGGGGGTTCCCTGACGCTCTGGCACTCCCGTCATTCCTAAGGAGTTACTGAAAGGGAGCCAGCGGTGTTTGGAGGCAACCCCTTACCTGTGAGCTCAGTGTCCCGGGGAGGAGTGACTCCCTTCAGCTCAGGGGCCCTGCCCGGCACGTGGACCTTGGTTTCTCTTCCAAAGGCATTTATTAGGCCCCGGACCAGTGCCCTTGCCTCTGATTCCCCAAGATCTTTTTATTTCCTGCCCAAATGTTGGAATAGGAAGGAGTCTCAGAGCTTCTCGAACACTCGAAGCTCTGTTTGGACAGAGGAGGACACTCAGGTTCAGGGCAGCGGGGACTGGTCTTGGGCCACAGGAGACGGTGTGCTGTCCATCCTGGGTCTCGATCCCTGGGCGCTTAACTGCAAGCCTCGCTGTCGTCCTTCATTCTCCACCTCTTGTCGCTTAAGTGCGCGGCTGCTCCAGGGTTCCCTGTAACTCTTCTGTGAGTGTGACATCTTGCCTCCTGACTTGGGGTGTGTGCTAGTAGGTTCTCTGAATCAATGAATAATGGACGGCATTTCTTTCCTAGCCCCACTGCAGAATTATACCGTAGATCTCTGGGCATCTTTCAACTGATAAAGAATTGCTTGTGTCAAGTACCCCTTTCTCGCTGCCCTGTTCCTTCCACTCCCGCCTTCAAATCCTACTATGAGCAAATTACTGTAGGAAACTTTTAATTAGAATTTGAAGCCCATTTTTCGTTTTGGAATCCCTTTTTATGGGATGATTCCTAAAAAGCAGAATTTGGTTCATGTTCGGGATTTTCTTGATTGTTCTGCAGAACCCGCATGGCAGTGAACATTTCCTAAGTAGATTGGTTATGTTTTCAAGCTTCTGTGTTTATTCAGATGTCAAAAGAGAGTACAGGAAAATAATTAGACAGGAAAAATATATCCTGAGTCTTAAAAAAAACACGGACACTAATCAGAGAGGGAAGCAGGTTTTAACAGTCGTTTCTCTCTCTCTCTCTCTCTCTCTCTCTCTCTTTCTCTCTCTCTCTCTCTCAGTGGTTGTATGACTTGATTCCTTTTGGATAATGAAACAGAACTTGGCACAGCTGTTCTTAGGGCCCCAAATTGCAGCGCTGATTCGAGAGAGAGTCCCTTACGATGTCCTGGACGTAGGAGGACTTAGTGTCTGGGGATGCGATGTGGGGCTGTATGCTGATGCTTCCCCCAGCCCCACCCTCCTTGGGATCAGTTCTTCTCTGGGTCCTATGTGCCCAGGCCCAATCTGCATGCACTTTGAAGCTGCCTGCTGGCTTCCTGGGCCTTTTCTGGGAATGACCCAGACTCTGTGTGGTGGATTACTGCTCTCTCTGTGCGCAGGGAGGAACACACACCCATCTGTCTCTCTCAAAGCACAAGTCTGAGATTTTACAGGTTGTTAAGAAATGTACTCCTGATTTTCTGCAGAAAGTGACAGTTTCCTATTTCAGATGCGACTTCTACTTCTGGTTCACTCCGGGCTCCTAGATGCTAAAAAAGTTTGTCCACAATGTTTTTACGTACCTTCCAGCAGGACCTTAATGTAGCCATAGATTTCCTCTGAATGCACATCGAATAGAGATCTCTGGGCTATGAACTGCCATCTTACTGCAACCCCAGGTCTCCCTATGTGGGCCTCAACTGTGGATTTAGAACAGTAGGTCGGGACTAGTGCTGGGAGATTTGAGAGTCTGGGGGGTCTGAAGACCTATTTGTTGATGCTTAAGTTCAATTCATCAAGTAATGATTTCATTTCAGTCTTAGGACATCTTCAGCAAGATCTGAATTGCGTGCTGGTGACAAGGAT